CTTACTTTTATGTCCTGATGAGTGTCTGTGGGATACATTTAATACATTGGCGCAATAGGTTGTTTTTTTAACAATAGAAATAATAGTAAATTTGTAAATATTTGTACATCATAATCAAGCTGTTATATTAAACTTAACTCTCTTATGTTATTTGTAAAACCTACGTATCAGCCGAAGAAGGTATACATTTCTCCTTGTGAGGGAATATAAAATTGTTAAAAGCTTAAATCTTAGATGGTGGAGTTTCACTCGCTTTAATATATGTCCTTCTGCTTACACTATAGTGATTGATGAATGGATGTGAAGGAATTTTTCTAACAGTACTGCTACTACTGTAACAACAGAAGTCAAGACATGGAAGCCAAAGTATATTTTTCATTAATCAAACTGCTGTTCATATATATATACAGTTTATGTTCGTTAACCAATCACTGAGCGTGTGATTTCGGTTTACATCAAACGACATAAAATACAATGATCAAATACACATAGTATTCTGTTGTTAATGTCGAAATGAACTGTGGGAACATATGAGCATAACATTCCGTTGGCACACACTGTCTGCATCACACCACCACACTACTACTGTAACAACAGAGGGCAAGGGTCAGGCAACAGATCGTTTATTAAGGAAATCAAAGCATATTTATATATTTTCATGTACATTATTATAGATTAGTTAAGCAAACAAACACAGTCTTCTGATTGGTTCTTTCTCTCTCAAAGTTAATCTTTCATCTCCTTGTGACTGTTTCTTGAATGTCAGATCATCTATATGTTAACTGTATCCGCCTACTCAAAGTCTGCTGTGGTCGGTTTTGAATCAATCTTTGTTCATATTTTCTCACGACCAATCTTGAGAAAGTAAACATTGACGTAAATTACTGTCTACCAATTTGGCTAGTAGACAGCTCTCACCACACTACTACTAATATCCATGTGAATATCCGTTTATAAACGTGCGCAGTTAATCTGAATAGGTGCATAAATAAAACTGAGGATTGAAAATATCTGCGTAGGTAGTTGAAACGTATAAATATCAATAAAGGCTACAGATTATATTGAATCATATGAATCTCTTTCAATTAAGAAAGAGGTTTTCTTTCACTGGAAAATAATCAGATGTTTCGAACGTACCTCACTCGAATTTTCTACAGTTCAGTACTTCACTTCACAAAGCAAAAACAAAGAAAAAAATCAACAGTTATATTACCGTTATCTATTAAAAGATGAACAATCTCAATACTGAAGATTTTCACACCTTTCTGTCACAGGTTTCTAGAAATGTACCCACATATATGGTCCTAAACACTTTTTTGTATGTCCAGTGTACTTTCGTACGTAGTGTCCAGTGCACTTTCGTATGTACATATAAATTGGTAGATGCAACGTCTATTCTATAGTTGGTTCATCTGAATATTTATTCACCTTTGAATTCAAGTTTTAGGAAGACTGATTTCTTACCCGCTGTGTCTGATTTTGCCATCACACTTGGTGTTCATTTGTATTTATCAATAAACTTTTGAAGATAATTATTACATCATGATCGCTTTTAATAATGGCGAATTCTTCATCAACTCCTTCTTTTGTAGAAAGCTTTACAGTAAGTTTGAACAATGTTCGAACTAGACCATCGCTGAAGCTAACTGAATAAAAGCAGTTGAAATTTAAAAACAGTGCATTCTAAAATTCTTCACAATACATGAACTGTTGTATACTTCTATCTGTAATTCATAGAAATTCAAGATTTAGACAATGAGACCTTTCATTTTCCTCTTATTCTATGGTTCCATGTTAAAGAAATAAAGGAAGATAAAGTGCACTTTTTTATGTTACTACATCTAATAAATATGTAGTACTTATCTTAAAAAATCATTTCAGCCCTTGCGTGTTTCAAACTCGTCTGTTCAAAGTATCCCATAAAAATATCTGCTAAGGTGGAACATCTTGGATTTTTCATTGCAACTCATCAGTTTGTCTATACCTAACGTTGAACATTACCTACTTGGTGTAAATAAGTAAAAGGTATTTGAGCTCTTCCTTAAATGATGTCAGTTAGTATAAACTGTTCCAGTATGATATTTGTAAGTAGTGACGATACATGAGACCAAACGTTTCCTAGCTTCCCAGATAATTTAAAACTGTATTTCAAGCAGTATACTGACCTTACGTAAAGTATGTTGCCAATTCTACAACTCCAGTTACTTTCCATCTTCTGTTCTTAATTCTAAAGTATTATTGTAATCATTTATACACATATACTGACAACCTTATTAACACATTTTATCTCTTCTACTCTGATACTTAATTACACAATATTAATAGCCTCCATCTCCATACTCAATAATTGAAATACTTGGATATTATGCATATTAATAATATTGAGAGTGTTGTAGGTTTTATGCAATGGACAAAAGCTAACGACATGAAACAATATCATACTATCAGTTTGCTGTTCTTGCTTTGTTCATGTTCATCAAGTGAAAAAACTGCAGATAGTTAGTCAAGTAGACTACATGGTGTGAATTTGTTTAATATATCTCCGAAAGAACGTTTTTGTAATTTTACGAAAGTATTAAAAACTTCGTTGTTAGGATAAGATGGGAAAAAAGTAATGATATTTAACTTGAACAACACTAACAGACTATTCATCAAACATTGGATTTGGTTTTAAAATATGAAAAACGCCTATGTGGTATAAATTAAAATGATAAGTCAGCAAAAAATAGTATTCTCGTAAATCCACTTCAAATAGGTACAGTTAATTACTGTTTTGCAAGGTCATGAAAGTGCTGTAAGGGTCAATTATTAGTGTCATTAGGTAACAATATATATGAAATGATTCATGATGCAAACAAATGATTAATTAGTTTTAAGTAATCTAAAACAGCACTGAATGATGAATATGGCTGATAAATGATTACCGTGAAAACTACAGGCGCTTGAGACAGGAATTTGTTCTTGTGAGTAAGAAATTCGGGTTATGCCTGAAGTATATTTTAAAATTAGGAGTATGAAAAAAGATGGATTATGACGCGTTTGACCGCAGAGAACGGGATTAAACAAACCGCTTCTGTGCATACACTTCAGGATTAGTCTTGCATACAGCAAGAGCTGTTTTCTTGAACAGAGTTTTATGCAAAACATTAAATTCCTCACTTCACTTCTTAAAATATCAGTGGTATATCAGAAAGCTAGGCTTATACGCACAATATGGTAAATTAATACACATAAGGATTACTACTCTAGCAAAAGAATAATATTGGAATCTGACAGTAACCATTCCGAAGTGGTGAGCTTCTCATGTTCATCATTAATTTTATGCATGAATAATTTGTCTGTTAGAAATCTGATTGATAAACTGGTTAAATTTTTAAGTAGTGATTGCCATCAGTCAGTCTTCCATGATAGAATATTTTTCTAAACAGCGCTTTACCCCTACTGACTTTCTTTTGAAAAATACTCATGGACAAAATTGAATATATTCAGGTTCAAATGTCACTAATTGAAAAGGTTATCCTATTCAATCCTAATTCAGTTAATTATTATCACAACGTGTCTGCTTGTTTGCAATATGAGTAAACACTGCCAGTACTCTGTGATTATTTTATGATAAATCTGAGCCAAAGCTAAGTTAACCGACCATGAAATATGACTGCCTTATTATGTAATTTTTGTGCCACCAATCTACTGTTTCATTTACTAAAAAGTTCACTCTGGTGTTTCAGAAGTTGGATCTAATGAAAAAGGAGCCTTGACACACATTATTGAAGTTAATTTAATATTCACAAATTTTCACCATCTCTAGTGCTTTTAATATATGTGAATAATAGTTAAATTGTAGTTTCCTTCGTTAAAAATATACGTCTGTAGAAAAGTATTGATAAAGAAGATGCGTGGAATTTCAGTATCCTGACTGCATATGTATTCGTCAGTCCACTAGCTTTTCGGAAAAATAAACAAAACCATATTTTAGGCCTCAAATCTATATCAAGTAGGTCGTGCGAAACATGAGTTCGGCATCCTTAACCATTTGACAATTAGGGTTGGTCGAAGTATATATATATATGTATATGATAAAAGAAAACTAAGAGTGGCTGTACCTCAGCAGGTCAGTGAACCATGAAGTTATCGACTGTTAGTGTGAGCCACATAGAAAGCAGAGAACGCTTCATTGTAGTCACTGAAATGTTGAGAATCGGGGATAAGAAAATGTTAGTGTAGTACTATTTAGTATGCTTAACTGCACACCATTTCCACTTATTTCTTAATAAACAGAGGGAGAAAATAAATTACCTCCGCACTAAAACTCTCGTAGAAAGGTTACAAAAAACAAAAAATAGTGCTGTGGCACTATAAAGATCGACAGTAAGAGTGTTAGTCCAAGTGTGAAAATTTCGAATATTCTTTGTCAATACAAAGAAATAAGTGTCTACCATTAGCAAATATGAAACCTAGTTTAGTTTCCTTCAACAACCTTGCGCTAAATGGCTAACTGGTTCATAAACCTATCAAACTTTTTGACCAGACAATGTTATTACCCTTCTCAACTTTAGTTAACAGGACTTTGTATTTTTCAACAAGAATTCAGGATATTTCTACATCTCACATGTACACGTTCATGTAACTCATTCAGTATATTATTTTCAATAAGTACTGATTTTATCATAAATGAACTACTCTGCAAGCAAGTTGTTCATATTCTGTCAGCCTAAATATTTCACTCGTAGGAAACATAACGATAATGTGTAACTGTTGCACAATAGATATACTTGCTTATTAACATACCATGACACTGATATTGGTAGCTTTTAATTATTATTTCAGTAAATTAGTAGTCACATTTTCAGTATTTGGCAAAACGAAACTGTGTTGTTAGCATAGTCGCATATGCTGTGAAAGACTTTTCGCTTTGACTGAGAACGAAATCATTTGTACCTCAAGATAATATCGAAGATAAGTTAAAGAGAAATTAAAGTAGAAAGATATTGAATAGTTGAAATCCCATAATGAAACGGATCGCTTTAAATTGTGACATGTCTTTTGTAATCAGGATATTTATAAAAATGATTTATTTTTTCTATCAAGTCATTTGATGCTATAAAAATTAATGTACTTCTTTCGGTAAGACTACTGAACAAACTAAAATGATGCTTCCATATAATAACTAAATCTGATAAACGCTTCTATTATGAATTCAATGGAAAATAATGATGTCTTTTAATTACTTCATTAATTGTATATATTTCATCTTCACAGTCAGTCATAAGTAATGTACTAGATAGCGGAAAAACAATAAACTAAGTCAATCAATTTCTAAATTTTTGTATAACCCCCAAATCATTAACGAAAGTATTGTTCTCTACTAATCTTCTTACAAAGAATTTCTGAACAGAATACGGTGGTATTTAATGTGACTATTTTATTGCTTAAGTAAGGTAACAAATTAACACGGAATCAAGATAGGTGAATTTCACTAAAAAATCAGTGATGCGAAAATTGTGAAAAACAATACCTCTATCAGAGAAATTTCCTACTGATTAAAAAAATTAGTAAAAATTGAAAAATATCCTGTGGAAGAAATAACAACCATTCTTACTTCACCCATTCTTATCCTCGCTATTAACAACAATAATTTTCCTTATTTGTTATAATGATCTCATCGACTGATTCGAAACTTACTCATTTTTAGAAAAAAGGATGTTGTTAATACAATGAATAATACTACTATTTGCTTTCATAAGTAGATTTCACAGGGAAAAGTTATTTAACAGAAACTTGGAGAATAAATTCATCCAAAATAAGATTAAAACCTAATTTTAGAATTAATTTTAAATTTCTCTAGTTAATAAAAATAGACAGATAGGCACTTACTTGGAAGATGTGGTAAGATAAATTGAAATACATAAGTAGTGGTGTAACTTAGAAGACAAGAGACTTGGTAAAGGAATGTTTGTTTGCGATCTGGAATCTCTATATAGCCAAATTATGTACACCTTATCTTCAAATCATCATTTTCACAGACCTTCAGTGTCGTGCTACTTCTGGCCTTCATATTGTGTTTCTTTCACGTTTCCTGAGTATCTCCGCAGCGCTGCATCATTTGCTTTCTTTGACATCAAATTTAACTCCCTGATGTTTGGTGCTTTTGTGCCGATCTTTACATACTACTGGTAAGTCTTACCAGTGGCACACGCAACAGTGGTAGATAGATAAGTAAAGGAGTAAGAAATCCAGTCACCATCCAGTTGAAAAATAAGCACCATCTCACACAAAAACTACGAAATGGTCATCATACTGTATTAAACGAAAAATGACGATTCAATGGAAAAATAAGATTGATTAACTAAAATGTTTTAACCAGAGCTCGAGGAAAATATCTGTATCTATCTGAATTTTTCATTCCTAGCTGATACGTGCGTCTAAGATTGATATATCGGAAAAAATAGATCCTTCGATCTGTTTATTTATGTTGTTGGAATCATTTTAGTTCAATTTACAGGTGAGAACTTGTGTAAACCAATATCTGTTTATGTTTATCTTCAGCACAACCTAATTAAAAGATAACAAAATGTAACATTATTCCCTTAAGATGCAGTCAGATGTAAACTATATAAAACCGTTGTACATTTTAATATCGCTGATTGAGTCAGTAACGAAAGCGAATAAACATTTTAGAAAGAGGTAGGTATTTGCATTTCGAGGTGACAGTCATAATAACGGTTGAGTGAATTTACGTAACTTCTATGTTATTTGTATAGGACTGAAATCAGCGATAACATTGATATGTATCAACACTAATTCCACCCTTCACCTCATATTTTTTATAAAACTTCAGTTGCTAATTTTAAAGGGAATTTATTGATCATAAAATGGATCGTATTACCAACTAAAACTAGCTCCAAAGAGCTAAAATTCAATGAGTATTGAACACACATTTCATCCTAGTTTAGGCTTTTCAGCAAGTCATATTCATAATTCCACAAGGAATATCAGGTTGAGAGATAAGCAATGATGCCTTGGGTGGTAATTGTGCTATTTTATCAGGAATTGGTAGAAATCATAAACCAATAAACACTGAATTTCGACTCGCCTCTCAATATGACCTACTATCTAATGTTGAGTACTTCATTGGGCCGTGGTTATGAATTAACGAAAAGTTCCAAAATAGGAGGAAACATTTGTCCAACAGTCTTTTGTCTACAATAATTCCATGGTTGTGATTAAAACCTAAGCAGAACAGATAAAACCTATTTTGTCGTGAGAAATGGGAGAGATGAATAATAAACTTTCAGTCAACCTTACTGTCTGAACTAATCTACGCTTGGGTAAGAACAAAAGCCATCAGTATACTAATATTTGACGGCTGTTTGTGGCACGACTCAAAACCGCTATGAATTGTGCAGATCTATTCATTCCTCATCACTTTTAAAATTCTGAAAACAACTCTAATCTTTGTTAGGTTATCCTTTTTGATTGCTTATATTTCTTCGTTGTAGTTTGTTTTTAGTTCCCTTCTCTTCTTCCGTTTGTGCTATTCTGAAGCGTGATGATTTGAACTATTTCGTTTAGTGTTAACTAATCGGTTATTCATTCAGCATACAAAATACTTCTTTCACACGAACGAAACTTTCGAACATTTTTCTTTGAGTAAGTAATATCAAACTGGTTTTTCACCCGTAGGTTACATTAATATGGTTTGTTTGTTTCTGTACCCATTTCAAATTCTTTTCCTAGAATTCATTATATCATAATTTTAATTTACTCTGAATCCTTACTTTTATCGTCTAAATGACAAAGTTATAGGCAGATTGTCTACGGAAATACTTTACAAGATTATTAGACTCTTGAGTTGGTTCATAAGAGAAAAATCAATCATTTGTGTTTGAAAACTAGCACATTACAGTTATCCTTACAGCATGATAAAATTCATAAGTATTATTTTATCTTCATTGTGGAGTCAGCGAAGCGGGCAGCTGTTGATAAAAGTCTGCAACCTGTTAGAAATCCTAATCGTGGCATACACTCCAAGTCTCTGACCCGTATAGAACTGACTTCACATTTTTGTAGAAAATCCGAAACTTGTTGTTTATGCTGGCTGAGTGCAGAAGATTTCAAAACCGGTTTCAGGATGGTGACGACGTATCTTGCCTTTCCGTTCCTGACTGGCTTTGACAGCTTCATCCGTTCCAACTGCCTGCGGGTGAAACGATCTTTTCTAGATAAGTAAAGAAAGTAACTTTTGTTAAATCTCTCCTGTCGATGGTCATTGGTACTGCCCGTTGTTGTTGTTGTTGCTGTTCGTTGGTTATCTTCATCACCTCCGTCTTCTTTATGTTCACCTGCAGTCCTGTATTCGCCGGTTGCTTCTTCTGCAAGTTTGTTCCTCTTCGCCTGCAAGTCTTCGAGTTTCTGTGACAGTAAACATAAATCCTCCGCAAAATCCAAATCATCTAGAGTCTTCTAATCGGTCGTCCAGCATATTCCTGTCTCCTCGCTCCCCACATTCTGATGTATAATCCAGTCCACCACAAGTAAGAATATCGTCGGTGATAATAGGCAGTCAGCTTGTCTTACTCCTGTGTTCACTTCGAACGCCTCGCTGAGTTTCCCGTTGTGGATCACTTGACATGTAGCAGGCGTTGTCATGTAGCCAGCTGTTGAATGAGGTTGATAAATACTTGGTTACTGTACGCCGTAGTGTTGCAATAGTTTCCAGTGCAGAGTCTTCTGAACACCTTGAGCAGTAATCTGTGAATGTCTGACATACGACTGGCTCCTGTCAGACTGGAACACATAGACTCCTAGGTGAAAGATAGGGGGGGAATCAGCAGAGCGTGTTGGCCACCTCACTTATTTGTGGAAGTTGCATCAGCCAACGCCAGTGGGTTGTATTATGTCTTCTCCTATATCCTCTGTTTGTATTAAGAAAACTTTACTGTTTTGTCTGAACATCACTCACCTAATCACATTTTTGCCATCTTATATATAAATTATATGCTGCAATTACGTAACCTATTCTGTTTATATACCCTCTCGAGTTGAACTTCTATCCGAAATTTCGGACACTTTTTTTCAAGCTATGTTACTTATTATCATAAATTATTTAAAATAATCCCAAAGTGTTTAAGAAAAAGTCAAAACAAGATTTTTCATAACGTTTCGCTGTTTAATCCACAGCTTCCTCAGCAGAATTCTTATATTACTATTAGTTCCAATCCACTACCTCTTGTCATCACGAAGAGAGTCTATTCAAATTTTCTTTGTAATTTGTATTTCTGTATTGTTCAGGTTGCATCCAACCAGTTGACAAAAAGCAGTGAAACAATAATAATAAAAATTGAGCACACATTATCCTAATTCATTTGAATTCACTTGATTTCATTAGATTATCATGACTTATATGCAATGAAGTGAATAAGCTAATTGATAAATAATCAATCAGCTTGGAAAATATTGAAATATAATCTCACTTTTTTGAAACTAATAATCAAGGAAAAAACAAAATACCTACATCAAATTTGAAGCAAGTTAAATGTACGCACTGAGTGGGAAGCGAAATGTTCTTGATGTATTTAACATTGAGTCAGTCAACAACAGGATTAGGATTTTGGTTTTATACTTATTAAATCTCATCAGTAGATTCGAGAAATCTCATGTTGCTAGTGAAGTTGGAAATTACACTACTTACGTACAGAGTTGGAAAGTTTACTGTTAAACCGTTTATATCAGGCTCAGTGCCTTATATTTTGTTTTTCAGCATGGAGATTAGTCGGTAGCTGGTAATTGGTTCAGCTGTTCAGCCTTCGTTATTGAAAAGATCTTTCCCAACATTTTCGCAGTATATTCGTCAAGATTGGTAACACCATAGCGATATACACCGTGATGCACTTTTGCTCACCTGATTTCTTTCAGAACATATGACTAGAAATTAAAGTTGGTTAATGTTCGATGAACACCAGTAATATGTTACTTAATAACATGGTACTACGGAATATTTGCTAGTTGACAGCAATATTCACAAAGGAAATATCATTGAAGGCAACGCACAGATTGATTTCTGAAACTATGTCCGAAAACAACAACACATAGGACAGAAATTAAGCTAACTCAGGAATAATAAGTCTACTTATGGATTTTCGTCATCATTTCCAAAACAATTATGCAGTCATAATGTTAATAATGATCATTAGAATTTGAAAGCATTGAGAAAATGCAGGATTCCAGTGTGTGAATATTGGAAACGTCTTCACATGTGATTTTTGAAGGGTTACTGAGAAAATTCACATACGATTTTCGATCTAATTTAGATGCTAGTTAAGACATTTGCAAATAATTTTGACAAAATTTATGTAGGGTTATTGATAAGTTTTGAGACTTATTGCTTGAGAGGTGGAACAGAATCTTCCCCTGAAATCTGGCCATTTGCTCTTTGAAAAATTTCTTTTCATCCAATAACTTATTTAATATTTAAGTGGTTGGAGTCTACTTCAGAGGCACCTCACTAGAACTAATTCGGTGAGACTTCTTTGCGTAAGAGTTATAAGGAAAGATACATTTGATTCTTGAAAACCACCTGAATCTAAATTCCTACATGTATGGTTTACCCAAAATAAATAAGCCCGGTAATCCTCTACACCCTATATTGTAAATGTGTATGTCACTAACACATAAGCTTGCTCAATGGTTAGTGGAATCATTAGACTCAGTCAAAAGACAATTCTGTAAGTGTATGTACTGAAAATTTATTTTAACTGATTGATTACCTTGATGGCCTTTATATTATAAATGATAAAAATATGCATTCTTTTGATGTGAACTCTTTATTCACTGATGTACATTTATATTTAAAATAATTCACACTTTGTGTGATTACATTTCCATACGTAATTTCCTATCGATGAACTAGCAGTGTTAGGTTCATATTTTGAAGGTGATTGTTTCCGTCAGATTGATAGTATTACTATAGGAAGTCTGTTAGGACCCATTTTAGCAGATATATGTATGTCGTACATTGAGAGCTTATCGGCAGATTTATTCGAAAAGGTACCATCTTATCGAAGATATGTTGACGAGATTGTAATCATAAGTGATAAGACTTGTTCTGTCACCACAGTTATAAATCGAATGAACGAAGTTCAGAATAGCAAATCACTTACGTCTGAAGAGGAGAAAGATAAATGTTTATCTTTCCTAGATATATTGCTTAGTCGACGACCTGGTGAATAAAAAAAACGAAAAATATTTAGCTAACCCACGTATAAATTTCACAAACTTAACCATCGTTTGCATCACCTAAAACCTTGTTACTTGTAAGTAGTACAAAAGCATGACATAAAAAATTAGGTACAAATTTGTTGGTTGTAGAATGATTACTTATAATGAATAAGTTTAAACTTTTAAACATAACAGGATTTTTTCCACTACAAACATAAGCAAGGAAAAACTATCACCTGGGAAATAAACAAAGTTGCACGACCTCTGATAATTCATTTGTTTTTCTGAAAGGTCTAAAATTTCGTTTGGCTAAACAGCATCATGTACGTTGGAGGATACAGGATACATTTACCTGTTTCACGTATGAATTTTAGCTTAATCCCTTCACCTGGCTGCCTACATACCACCAACAATAAACCACACCGACTACACAACCTCTAAGCTTCATTAACTATCAACGTACATCTGATTTCAGCTTATAATAAATTAAACTTAATTGAACAATTAAAGTTTTAACTGTAGAAAAATTACAAGCACATGGTTGTTGTAAATGTCACTCATGTGGGCATTTCATCCAGTAAGTCTTGTGAATAGTATGCCTGAATAACCACTGAAATCTAAACAAACCACCTGTGGTTTCTTGTTAAATTCATTACTCACTTTGCGACTGGAAAAAAACCAGCCTCCCATTGAATGTTTCTCAATTGTTACATAATGATTTTCAACAAGAAATGAATAACAAAAGGCTTAGAAACAAAAGTTACGCAGGGATAGAACGAATTACAGGTGTGAACAAAATCAGCATAGAAACAAACTGAAATCAAAATTTTCAGCTTGAAATATAAGTTAGGAGGTGTGAATATAGATTACGAGAGGTATGGAAACAAAAAATTACACAGGATTAGAATATAATTGTAAAATGCTTATTCTAAACGGATTACAAGTGTGATCAGGAGGAGCATGGAAACAAACTTAAAATAACTGATTTTATAACTGAAAAAATAGGATGAATTGAATGAAGACAAAGAGAGAAAATTACACACACAGAACAAAACAAAAAACTGGAGGATAAGGGAACATACCGAACTATGTCCATGGTAGTTGTAAAGGCTGGACTAGTTTCTTTTGAATACATAGCTCCGGCTTTTCGATGCATATGGCGAGAGCTTCCGCAGTACAAAGAAGTCGGAAACACACTGCCTTTGGTAGATTTTTGTTTACTTTTTAAATGACTCTAAATGATGAGTCAGTTGAGATTCAGTGACAGGTATTGACGAGGTGTTCAGTTATTGCGCTTCTGATTAAACCATCGCCTCCTCTTTGCAGCCATGCTGGATGATGTTCTCTAACACGTTTTGATAAGACCTGCATAGAACGACCTATGTACCTAGCTCCGCAAGAGCAGGTAAACAGATATGTGCACATTGAAGTGGTCATATGCGGAAGTCTGTCCTTCCCGTTGCTCCGAAGTAGCGGGCGGCTAGAGAATATCACTCGTAGAGTTGCTGCCGGAAAAGTCTTGTTCAGGGAATTGGAGATTCTCCTTATGGACAGAGATGTGTATATCAATAAGTTCACAGCTCTGATCTCTAATGATGATAAATTTTCAAAACCAGACAATGAGAAGAATAAGACAGAACAGATGGAACAGCAACTGACAGATGTTCCTAGGAGAGTGAAGAACGACTGCCTCATAACTGAGGACCTATTTGAACGTCTGAGACCAACAGGATCAATTATCCCTCGAATCAGGTCTACCACTCTGACCAATTTTAGACATCGAGGGATCACCGTGCCATCCGATTGCCAAGTGGCTGTCCGAGATGCTGGAGCCTGTGAGACGACAACTCTGTAAGTACTCTCTACGAGATACTTTTGAATTCATTCAGTTCATAAAATACTTGAATGTAAATGGCAAACGAATGTTATCACTGGACGTGGAATCTCTGTTTACGAATGTACCGCTCACAGACACAATTTATTTCCTTTGCAAGTATATGGATGACAAAAATGTGTTTATCGAGATACCAACCTCATACCTGAAAGAGTTGTTATTAAGATGCATACTCAATATACAATTTACATTCAACGATGTCATCTATAGACAGAAAGACGGGATTGCTATGGGCCCACTTTCGGCAGACTGCTTCATGGCCAGCCTGAAGAACGTCATCTTAAAATCAACAATGGACAAATTGCTGCTGTACAAAAGATATGTCGATGACACTTTTATAGTTTTTGAAATAATAGAGAAGATTTGTAGCTCAGGTGGATGATTTGCAATTAAAAGTGTTCTCTGAGCTGGTTGGTTTAGTCGCGAAGCTTTCGTCGTCCTTCCGGACAACATCTACAGCGCCATATTTAGCACAAAGTGATGTAATTGCGTCTCCTGGTTACTATCTTCACATATGTATTGACCACTTTCTATTGACTAGGATTTTAAACTTTTTGGTCACCTGATTTACTTTTTATTAATTGGTATATTTCATCTATATTAACGTGTTTGTTAATCGCATTTTCGCTTGAGTACCAGGCTTCTAGGAATTCTCTGGCACTTTTCGTGTTTCCTCTGTTTAGGATTTTGACATGATCCCAATCAAACTGATGAACATAGTTGTCTGCATGCATTGATACTAACGAATACATATCATGTCTTTTCACGGCTGATTTATGTTTATATACCAATTAATAAAAAGTAAATCAGGTGACCAAAAAGTTTAAAATCCTAGTCAATAGAAAGTGGTCAATACATATGTGAAGATAGTAACCAGGAGACGCAATTACATCACTTTGTGCTAAATATGGCGCTGTAGATGTTGTCCGGAAGGACGACGAAAGCTTCGCGACTAAACCAACCAGCTCAGAGAACACTTTTAATTGCAAATCATCCACCTGAGCTACAAATCTTCTCTATTATTTCAAAAACTATAAAAGTGTCATCGACATATCTTTTGTACAGCAGCAATTTGTCCATTGTTGATTTTAAGATGACGTTCTTCAGGCTGGCCATGAAGCAGTCTGCCGAAAGTGGGCCCATAGCAATCCCGTCTTTCTGTCTATAGATGACATCGTTGAATGTAAATTGTACATTGAGTATGCATCTTAATAACAACTCTTTCAGGTATGAGGTTGGTATCTCGATAAACACATTTTTGTCATCCATATACTTGCAAAGGAAATAAATTGTGTCTGTGAGCGGTACATTCGTAAACAGAGATTCCACGTCCAGTGATAACATTCGTTTGCCATTTACATTCAAGTATTTTATGAACTGAATGAATTCAAAAGTATCTCGTAGAGAGTACTTACAGAGTTGTCGTCTCACAGGCTCCAGCATCTCGGACAGCCACTTGGCAATCGGATGGCACGGTGATCCCTCGATGTCTAAAATTGGTCAGAGTGGTAGACCTGATTCGAGGGATAATTGATCCTGTTGGTCTCAGACGTTCAAATAGGTCCTCAGTTATGAGGCAGTCGTTCTTCACTCTCCTAGGAACATCTGTCAGTTGCTGTTCCATCTGTTCTGTCTTATTCTTCTCATTGTCTGGTTTTGAAAATTTATCATCATTAGAGATCAGAGCTGTGAACTTATTGATATACACATCTCTGTCCATAAGGAGAATCTCCAATTCCCTGAACAAGACTTTTCCGGCAGCAACTCTACGAGTGATATTCTCTAGCCGCCCGCTACTTCGGAGCAACGGGAAGGACAGACTTCCGCATATGACCACTTCAATGTGCACATATCTGTTTACCTGCTCTTGCGGAGCTAGGTACATAGGTCGTTCTATGCAGGTCTTATCAAAACGTGTTAGAGAACATCATCCAGCATGGCTGCAAAGAGGAGGCGATGGTTTAATCAGAAGCGCAATAACTGAACACCTCGTCAATACCTGTCACTGAATCTCAACTGACTCATCATTTAGAGTCATTTAAAAAGTAAACAAAAATCTACCAAAGGCAGTGTGTTTCCGACTTCTTTGTACTGCGGAAGCTCTCGCCATATGCATCGAAAAGCCGGAGCTATGTATTCAAAAGAAACTAGTCCAGCCTTTACAACTACCATGGACATAGTTCGGTATGTTCCCTTATCCTCCAGTTTTTTGTTTTGTTCTGTGTGTGTAATTTTCTCTCTTTGTCTTCATTCAATTCATCCTATTTTTTCAGTTATAAAATCAGTTATTTTAAGTTTGTTTCCATGCTCCTCCTGATCACACTTGTAATCCGTTTAGAATAAGCATTTTACAATTATATTCTAATCCTGTGTAATTTTTTGTTTCCATACCTCTCGTAATCTATATTCACACCTCCTAACTTATATTTCAAGTTGAAAATTTTGATTTCAGTTTGTTTCTATGCTCATTTTGTTCGCATATTGATTTCACTGATTTATTTTGCAATACAAACTTGATTAGCCCCTCTAAACTTAAGAACTATCAGAACCAAGGTCTCAGTAGTGCATGTGATTCAGTTGTGATGTCCATTACAGTTTCACCTTAAATTAATTAATTCGTCGAGAAGGAAAATGACTCAGATTTCGTAAAGACCTCCGTAGTCAATGCATTCGATTAGGGTTTACAACCTCATCGATTGACTTGACATAATTAATACTTACTCTACACCTAACGAAGAACAAAGACATGTCTTATCTTCATATATATATATATATATATATATATATGATGCATTATGTCTGTTTTGCAAACGTATGTATGCCTAAAACGGAAAATTACTAACGTTGATTAATTTTAAAAAAAACAATTTATCTTATTCCAATGATATTTTTGGTCTTTGTCAAACTTGAAATTAGATTGAGTGATGCATTACAAGCCTCAGATAATCAGGATCCACTTCAAAAGTGTATTCAGCCTTCTCCTACTCCATTGACATCTCAATTATCAGCCATTTTTAATGAACCAGATGTGAATCGACCATCCAAGGAATCAACCGTTTCCCAAACTGTTGAAAATACTAAAAAATTTTCAATACAATCAAAAGAAGTGGATCAGAATGCCGAACTGACAGACAACAGTACACAATTTCCAGTATATGAAAATAAAAAGTCGACTAAATTTGATTGTTATAATTTTAAAAAAGTAGTGCCATTATGCAGTGATAAAAAGTTGTTACCGCTACTCATAATCTGTTCTGTGCTAACTGTTTATTCCCTTACCCAACTTGTATCTATTTTTATTTTATTATACCAGTCGATAAAGAACCCTTTACTCGCTCATCATATAATCTATTGTTTATTTTTAATTTCATTGATTGTAGAGTTTTATTTCTTATTTACTAGAAATAATAACAGGCATACATTAGGCGCAATTATGCTTGCCACCTTAGTTATGACTTATTTGAATGTTATTTACAATTTAGTAGTATCATTTAAACAAGTATACAATGTACAATATGTCATACCAAGTGTAAAAAGTAGGAGAGCTGAATGCATGAACACTCTACAATCACAATCATTATCTGTAACACCTACAACAACAGCACATAATATCAATGTTGCTAATAATATTAATAATAGTACTATTATTGCTACTGCTGATACTATTACTACAAAAAATTCTACTAAAAATGATGTCAGTAACCTAAACACTACTACCACTACTATTAATGCAAATAAGTATACACTTTGCCCTATATTATGGATTAGTAAATGTGATGCAGTATGCGAAAATAATGAGTCCGCTGTAGTTTATATCTTACTTATTTTAAATATTTTAAATTTTATAATTCCATTATTAAGTTTATTATTTCTAATGTATTGTCTAAATTCAGAAGAAAATGACAGTACAAATGGTGAACACTGTGAAGCATAAGAAATAATTAAAGTCACAATAATGAAAGTAACAAGAATGCAGATACCAGTATATGCGTTTATTGATTTCTATTAGTATTTGCTTTAAGGTGAATTATTAAGTGAACTAATGACTGAGAGGAGGGATCACGAGAAGCTAAGTTACTGATGGGAATTACACTGTTCATTTTTTATAATGAAATAAAAAAAAAACTAAAGAAATACCAGGAAGAAGAGAGAGGTGATTCTAATCAATGAGACACAGACACAATCAAGCATTAAGTGCCTATCGGATGCAGACAAAAATAAACTTAGAATGTCAACATCCTTGCCTAATAATAATTATGTAAGCGAAAATAATGTATAGACATTACAAAATTTGAAAATTACAACAACAAAATATGATAAATAAATAAATTTTGGATTCTAAAGTGAATGATATATTCTTGCTTTACTAAATAACAATTAAATAGGTAAATATAAATTCACAGGCTTGGAAATATTTTATAAGCATTGTGAGTACTCCTGCTTAATGCTGCTTTGGAGATGTTGAATGAGCGATGCACCAAATAGCAATTCGCAATTTACACAATTCGATGTGAAATTTCACAACAGTTTCATTCGGAAACCGACATTATTCAGATCACAGCAAGTAGCCTGCTTGATTCGATAAATATCAATCAAGAAAATAAACATAAATGCTCGACGCTACATACTGCTGATTGGGATGAATAGTTGGATACCACTCAAATAAACTATTAGTGATTGCTAGCCAGATCGAAGTGAAACTGATAAGTCTTTGTTTGTTCTTTAGATCACCTCAATCTGACTAGCAATCACCACCAGTTGATGCAGAGGGTATCCAACTACTCACACCAATCTGTCAGTAGTATATATCGTAATGCATTTAACCGTTGCACTGTATTATATCAGACGACATAAAAAAGACATATTATAACAGGGAGTTTATTGAATCCCTAGGTTAACTACACCACAAGAATCCTTAACATAGTACTCTAAGAATCAGGTTTGAATGTTAACTATATGGAGGGTGATGAAGTCTACAACTGAAGGGGGAAAAGTAAAATGTAGGCCTCTAATATTCATGAAAGCACAGTGAATAAGTAGTTGACAGTCGCAATATTTAATCGTCTATAACAGATGTTGTACCGAATTGAACTGATCAGTATTTCTGAAATTCAGAGAAAGAAAAAATTAGAATCACGTGTCAATCTAGCTCACCCACCCTTTACAAATATCTCTCAGTCATGACTAGAACTTTTAAAGTGTAAATTTGTGCCAGCTATATATGTCTTTTATTAAAATTATACCATTTTGAGAAATGAGCAACCAGGTTAGTGCAGGAAAGTAAGGACAACTGAAGATTAAACATACTAGTAAAATAACAATTGAAACCTCCGAAGCTTTTGTGTGTGTAAGGTTTCCCTTCTATTTAGAAGTATTTCTTTTGTCATATAAGGAAGACTGACAAATGCATAATGAGGTAGAAGTCAGTGGCATTCAGTTCCTAATGAATTGCTAAACCAATTATCTAGTAAAAAGTATGATCCTCAAGTAAGTTGCGTAAAAAGCCTTCCTTAGAAATTTCGACTGCAGTTCTGCCCTTGAACTCCGGATTTATCACCACTTTTTTTATTGACGGTTAGAAAAGTTTGCACTTGTGGTTTATTTTGCACGTTAGGGTATTCGTTTTCTAATAAGATTTCACTTAAAAATTTTAGTTCACTCTCCACCGTATCTCCTGAATCCTTGTACATAAGGGTGTTAAACTTTCACGCACAAATTTCCATTAATGCAATTCAACAGGACAATAATAACAATAGTAATTCATCGCTATCTTATCAGCTGTTTACACCTTTGGTAATGAAAGTAAATAGTTACATTACAGTTTCATCTTACTTTAGACAGATGGTGGAACAAAATATCAAATAATAATTAAAAACAGTTACGGGCTTTTAGATAAGTTGCAATGTTGAATTAGTGAAGTATGGTGAATCATATCATGCCATCACAAATTTTAGAAGATAAGGTTAATAACAAGAAATTAAGGGGTATAAATTATAATATAATTAATTCAGCCTTGGTTATTGTTATTTTCATCCTGGAAAGATTTTTGGACGCAAGTCTTCGCCCAGAACAGTTACGATTCAGGAAAAACGTCATTATTGACCAAATAGTAAGGCTAAAGTCCATCGAACAACGCTTACTATGGCAATCAGCATTCCACCTCAATTTCACTAGCTTTGAAAAGGCTTTCAACCTAACTGACCGTGAAGAAACTTGACAATTGCTTGAAAACTTCTGAGTGGAGTACCACAAACATTTGTAAACTTCATTCAATAGCTATATGACGATGCTACATGCAAAGTAATTCGCAAATAAAAGACAGGAGTGAGACAAGGCTGTCTACTATCATCTATGATCTTCCTAATAGCGGTGCGCCGGAACATGCAGTGAACTGTGTGAATTGACATGGGTATACATTTGAACCACAAAAGGACCTCAGAAGATCTGGATTTTGCAGACGAGCTTGTCTGACGTCTCGCAAACTCGAAGGTATAAGAGTGCAAAACAACAAGTTGATAGAAGGGACAGCGAAGATAAAATTTCAGGTGAGCACAGGAAATACAGAAGTGACGAAGATATCCAACCAACAACAAACACCAATAATCACGGATAGGAGAAATCTAAAGGTAGTCATCTCTTTCACCTCACTGGGCAGCTATCAGAAAGTGTTAATAGATAAAATATGCAAATAAATAGTGGGCTTAGCTTACCAAGTTGAATTCAAGCATATAAATCATAGGGTTTAATATTTGATGATGAAAACATCTTAGAGAACACAGTCATATCAAAATTACTCACCTGAACATATACCAACATCTACATTTCATAAATGATGATGTATTTAATTCAAGGTCAAGAAGCAAGTTACTTATTTTGTAGGACTCAAAATCAAATCAGTAGTATTATACCTCACACAACACAAGAATACAAACACAGCTAAAACAAGTCGTGTTATCGTAAATGTTTTTAAGATCACCTGAGTCATCTACCCTGGTAATTATACAATTTTCTAGTTTTCCAAATGATCATTATTCCAGTTAAACAGCTAACCGCCTACTTGACATACATGACTATGGGACTCCTGTGACCGATAACTTCACTCTGTTTTTTGTACTAAATAAATAATCACACTACTGATGCAGAGTGTGACTGCATTTTACAAATGGCTGATCGATGTAAACTTAAACTGACAGTTGCAAGTAACTTAATAGACGTTAATGAGACAAATACAGCTACCCTTGAAGATATATATATATATATATATATAAGAAACGGTGCTTTTCACTATTTGTGTTTTACGAAATAAATGAACACAACTCAGACATGCCATTCCACTACTAATGCATTAATACAGCTAGTGAGAGAAAGAGATACTTCCGACATCCTAAATATTAATACTCCTAAAACTAACGTCAAATAGACTGCAGAGGACACGAATAAAAACTACACTGGTAACAAGGTAAGGCTTAAACTTTAAATTGTACTTGTCGATAGACGACATTATATTATATTATATGAGACCGGATATATTAAAAAAGTTAGCGAATACTTTTCTTTTTTGTCTGGGCTTATATTAATCATAAGTCAAATAGTGTTTAACTTTCTGAAAGTTATGCGGAGGAGAAAATAGAACACTTTTAACACACGCAGAGGAATAAGTACACAAGAGAAGAGTGGAACACAAAGTAAATGACAACACGCAGTCAACTAAACATCACGATTTTTATTTTATGATTTCTACAAAATAAATAAATAAAGCGATTACGTTAATTAATTAATGCTCATGTTAAAGGTAAAAAAAATAATAACAAGTCAGCAAACTAGTAATAAGAAAGGAGGTAAACACCAAATTATGGCTGTGGCGACAAATTTCAGCTAACATCATATGGATGGAACTCTTATATAATAAGTCAGTTACTAGCTAAAAGTGAAATAAAACTGAAATAATTATGAGTATGAGAATGAAAGACATGGAATAATGAAATCTAAGTTTTTTAAAAACCTGGGTGTAACCAAATAACAAAAACGTTCACATAATAGGTATAGTTAACATAAAAAACAATGCAGACCATAAAACTTCATGTGATAAGAAAACAAAATCAATTGGGAAAACTAAAAAGAAAATAAACAAATAAATAAATAAAAGTATATCATGTCCGCAGGTATATTATATAAAGTATGCTAATAAATAAGAAAAACAAATGTAGAAGTGATATTCTGAGGTGTAGGACAGTGCACAGAATAACGAGTAACAGAGGTGATAATCCGAAAATCTAAGGGGAGAATTTTTTTACAATTTTGAGTCTAAAAATGAATGATATTAGTATTATGATAATATAAATGTCATGGGGATCCTTCTTTATTTGTTTCTTATGACAAAAGGTTCTTCTGAAGCACATTTATTTGCTCACGATAAAAATGGAAATACATATTGTTCTCTGCTTTGTAAAAAAAAGAAGCAAAATCAAAACAGCTGCTAAAAGTACTAGCATTGTATAACTTCATTTGTGGGCGTGCAAGGTGGAGAATCCGTGGACAGCTGTGTACGAAGCGAGGAAGATTCCTTACGATTTTTATTATTATCATTATCATCACCATCAACATTACTTTTTAACGCATAATCACGGTGACTTGGAGATGATAAAGTAGATAATGTACTATTACTACTGTCAGACATTTGTGATATTGAATTTTGTTTAGTAGACAGTTGGTGATTTGAATGGTGCTTAATTTGTTGTGATTTAGACATAATTTCATCGGATAAAGATTGACTACCCAGACCAACGACTAAATCATGACCAACACCGATACTTGCATCAGTACTGTAAGCAACTGCATAACCAAACAACCTGCTAAACCTGTACAACGAAACAGGAAATAAATTGATAAGTTATCCATAATGAATTCGGAAATGATTATGAATATTAATAACTT